TATTGACAAACAGCGGCGATCGCTGCGTCAACGATCGATGGGCGCACGGGATGCAATCACCGTACCGCATCCGTACACGTGTCAATCTGCTGGGATCTCAATCGCAAAGACTGCCTGCCCATTGGTGGTGTTGGCGAGCGTGCAACAAAAATATAACATGCTCTGCTTGCCAGTTTATGGTGTGCGTGTTTCCGGTTTTTGCATCTGTGCTGGTTTTTTGCATTTGCATCATTGTTAAGTGCGTGCATGCGCACGCGTGTGTGTTGGTGCCTTTGTGTTACTACAGTTTTTATGAAGCCTATTTACTTGCAAATACATTTGTTTAATGTGCCCATCACTTTTAATTAGTAAGCAAATCGTGTTTTGTTTATATCAGTTACATTTTGTGTAAGCCAGTTTTTGATCATTTGGTACTTTCAAAAATCAGTTCTGAGCCCACCACATGCCTAAGCCCGAATTGTGACATTGTGGTTTCATCAGAACAATAGCATTTATGAAATAAGGTAACATACAGTGCTATTGACAAAAGGGGCGGCAGGAGGCTAACCTTGTTCCTGCACATGTATCAGTTACTGATTAGAAGTGACATGGATTGTGCCTAATTAGTATGTCAATTGCACCTCTGATGACATTAATACTAGACCTTCAGAGGCCTAGTAATCTACTTAATTAAAATGCTTCTCAGCAAATGTGCAAGGGTTTTATGGGGCTAACTGTATATCTCAGAGTGCCCTGCATAAAAGCCTCCTCCATATACCACATGCACCCTGGGCTTGCATTAATGCAGAGCTAATTGATATCCTTTTCACAGCAATAAAAAAATGTGCTCTGAATCCTTGCTAATTTTATGTGCTTCATGGAGAAATTTCACTCAATCTAAAGACTCAAATATATCAATTGCATATAATTGTTGGATGGGTAGTGTAATAGAGTAAGAGTTTATTGCCCTTCATCAATCCACCGTTGGATGGTGTCCTGAAATTGTATTACTTATATTTTTTAAATTATACTTCAACAAGCTGGTCAGTGCGGATTCGTTAAGGGTGAGCCTTTAACCGACGCAGTCACGCAGATGTCACTTTCCACCGGTGTTTGGCATGGCCATGAATGAAACTCAGATCGCTAGAATCACAGTGCAGTTGTGCCAAATGCTGCGTAACCACTCCACCCAGAGCTGTATACAGTACCTTGTTAAGAATAGCGATCATAATTTAACTCACTCCACAAGTGCAGGGAGTATACTCTTTGGTTCTATTGGGTAAAGTCACGTAGGTGAAAATAAAATAACAAAAAATCACGACGTTTCGGCCGTGATTTTTTATTATTTTATTTTCACCTACGTGACTTTACCCAATAGAACCAAAGAATATGGATCCTAGCAGTCACGAAAGCTTTAAATCTAGAAGTGCAGGGAGTTTTGCCATCCCAGATCGTTGATATCAGCAATTTAAGTAGTCCTCTTGAAGTACCCCATATTTATCTAGAAGGACACGTTGGCGTAGTCCGACTTTACTTTTTTTTGCAGTACAGTACTGTCGAAAAATATTCAATTACCCCGCTAACCGGAGATATAATGAAGGCGATATGAATTTGGTGTCACGCCAGATGCACATTTCCAGCGCATTAGCGGTGCGCTGGGTCAGGCCTAATGGCGTGATTTACGGCGAGAAATGAGTCGCTGCGGCCGCTGAATGTCCCCGTTTTTTTCCGCAATGGCTCGAGGCCGGCCCGTCCACATCCACAACCCCGCCACGCGGGCCTCGTTAAAAATGTAGCGCTTATTGACTTGTGTACTATTTCGGTGCAGCCGATGATGTCAGCGAAAAGCGTACACTGGTTTGAGAGAGAGAGAGAGAAAAAAAACCCGAGAGAAAGAAAAGGAGGAGGGGTGGGCTTAGCCGAGGAGTGGGGGGGTCGATAAGCGGCATGGGTCGGAAGGTGGGCAGGTTTATGCAATTTGTCTGAATCAGCAGAAGCACAAAAGGCCATCACTGTTATGGACTAATCACACGAGCACCTATCAGAAAAAAAATATGCCTTTTTTAAGTCAACGTGATCCATTTTCATCTTTATCCCGATTAACATTTTAAAAGGGATATTTCTTTTTATCAATAGGCAACAAATGATTTTGACCTTCAAAGCGCCTCGGTCAGTAAATACGTTTGTCGTTATTAATTTGTGTGGAACTGTCAAATCTATTGCAAAGATCAGCTCGAACGGAACTTGTTACAGCAGAACAGCATTATCTGCCAGTGTTGCCAATGTCACAAACATAGCAGTGTTAGACTTTTTTATTGTTGCAAAAGTCTGATTTTCAAATTGAGTATAAAAAAGTTGCACAACCTTCAGTCGAACTTAAATAAGAGACTTCGACCCCTATCATCAACATCTTGGAGGGTGTGCAATGCATATTTCCATCTACATAAAGAAATGTTAATAAGACCCCAATTTAACGGTTTGTTAAGTTTTCCAAATACGTGTGCAGGCTTTGGTTTTGTAATTATGGATTTAACGAAGTAAAAAATAAAAAAATGCAATCCTAACATATTTCCACATAAGCAACAATGAAATGTCAAAATAATAAAGTGCTTTGAATTTTTTTTGCCGGTTAATTATTTGGTGCTGACAACCTAAATCAAATGTAAAAAAAACATTAAAAATCGGACCTTTGACTTCTTTTTTGCATAGTAAACTCTTTAATTAGGGACGTATAAACAGTAGCTTTTTAATACATTTCCTTAGAAGCTCCGGTGAAATGTTTTAGCGTAATGGAAGCGCGGCAATCTATTAGACAGCGAGAGGGTTTATTGCCGTCGTAATTAACTGCACTAATGCGTGTTGTTCCTCGTAACGTTATTTATCACGTTTTGTCATCGGGCTGCGTACAAACGCTGCTTCCTTTTGCAAGCGCTCATTACAAAGAAGGATCGTTTTAATCAGCCTGGTCCCCACCCTTTTTCCAGAGACTCCAGCACTGACATTATTAACGCTAACGTTTCAATAAACAGCGATTTAATTGGCTGGAGAGCTACACAGGCGAAACAACCCAAATTTATCATCTTGCCCTCCCGGATTAGAAGACTGCTGAGCGCTCTCGCAGGGATAATTACTCACTCGAAACCCACGAAAAGACACATTTACTAGAACACTCGTTTTCCTCATTTTTAAATCCAGACAATGGGAAGAAGTCATACAGCTTCAAAGGCCCCATGTTCTGTGTGGTTGTGTGTGTCCCAGTACAAATGAGGCCAAAGAATGAATTCATTGCCAGAAAACAACGTCAATTGCCATTAATGATGGTACAATTATGGCCACCCTGTTAAATAGCCTTAATGAATATTTAATAGATCATTGAAATGTTTCTTTTAATGTAAAGGCTCACGCTTGTGCGCACACGAGTGTGTGTGTCCGTGCCATGTAACATGTATTATTGTTGTTCTTGTGAGTCAGGACAATCGTCTTATTTTCAGCTTCATGTGCTGTTAATTTTGCTCGGCTTATCGTAGCAACGCAACTAACTGGCCCGTGAACCGCGCGGGTTTTCTTGATAAGTGATGTGTCGGTCAACCGGTGCGTGAAAGGAACAAGTAATGCGGTTGAATTTTGCCGCTTTACACCCATGCACTCACTGCCTCTTGCCCAACTATTAAGCAAACACCTTAAATCACAGGACGATGATCAGGAAACTAAACAAAATATCCCTGTGATGTGTAGTTAAAAGCACAATTTTAGCACAGCTGGTATGCATTTATCTAATCTGAGTATCGTTCACGACTGCTGAATATAGCTCCACACAAACACAACCCCCCCCCCCCCAAAAAAAAAAACTTTCGGCAAAAAAAACTAGGTCATCGTAAGCCTCCCCTGAAATATTATTTTTCACTCTCGACCAACAATTTGCAGAAGGCACTGCGACTTCAAGGATGGCGCGCCACAGGCCAGGCACTCAGAGGGTAACACGCCCACTCGTTACTTAATTTTAAAGGATTAATTTTACCCCAAACATTTTGCAGCGCCCCTCGGTTGCCCTCCCACCCCGGCCACCCCCATCCACCCCCTCCCCCCCCCCGGCTAACCAGCCCAGGGCTCCCATCTGCTCCCTTGGATGGGCTAATGGCCACGGCGCGCGTAATTGGCGACACCAAGCCAGGCCGTTGCCCGGACGACGGCTGTAATTGCGTGACACCAGCTGGTCGCTCGCCCAGCTTTCGCCTCCTTCCCTCCACCTCCCTTGACTCTTCTCCATCCCTCTCCCCCCACCGTCTCTGTTCTTTGCTCTCCCTGCCATTGTGGGTGGGCGGGTGAGGCTCGGCGGCTGTGTCACCACCGGAGAAAAAAATTAGGCATGCAGACGAAGGGGGGGGTGTTGGGTGGGTGATGGACGTAGGGGCAGGCCACGTAGTGGTGGGTGAGCAGCGGCAAGGTAGAGAGAGAGAGTTGGGGCGTCCGTGGAGGCGGCGGGGGTTGTATCAGGTGGCGCGGGGCAGGCTGAAGTGACGGGGTGTGCTCGCAGTATTAGCGATGCTGAGCGCGGGGCTAATGGTGCCGTGGCCTTTGCTTCTTCTTTTTGAACTGCAATGCAAGTGCATCTCTCTCGCGTGCGGAGGCCTCGCCGTCCTTGCGTGGAGCTCCGTTTCGCTATAACGCGCGGCTGCCTGGGGGTAGGGGTGGGGGTAGGGGTGGGGGTGGGGCGGTGGGAGAGGGCATTGCTCAGTAGCCGACTCCGCAAACAAAAATTGTAAAAAAATTACAATGTTACCTCTTGAAAAGGCCGCAACCACATGTATATTCGTTTAGTTTTGCGCGTGTTTTCATTGACAATAATAATTATAATAATCATCATCCCTCTGTAAAATTGTATTTATTTTTTTATTCCATTATGAATGTTGCGTTTGATAATCACTTGCATTAAAGTGAAATAAGCAAACGCTTGTGTAATAGCTTTTGGTGAAATCGTAATGACGTTTATGTTTTGCACTCTCCTTTGTGTGTACTTGCAGATTCTTTCTGAAGTTCTTTCTGAAGTGCAATCAGAACTGTCTGAAAAATGCCGGAAACCCGCGGGACATGCGCCGATTTCAGGTGTGACATCAATTCCTTGACTGATATGTTGATGGCGGTGCTTTGAGTGTGAATATAAAAAAAAATGAACGCAGAGACTGGAAGCGTATAGCAATGACAGCTCCTCCATGCACACACTCCGCTGACAGTGAGCAAATTCCCATTCTGTCTTTACAGGAAACGCATCACACATTAGCCGTTAGCTCCTGGGGACAGGCTCCACATTAATCACGCTGCGTCAAATGCAGGGATTGTACATCTTTAGTTAAACACCGGTAATAAAATCAAAGCAAGTACAAATTTCTTTTTTTTTTTCCTGCAGAAATGAAGCCAAATGACTGTATCAGTGATGAATGTCCTGGTGCTACGCAAATAGGATAGAGCCGGAACAAACCCCTTGTGTGTGATTACGTCTTAGAAGTTTAATTGTGTTTAAGCTATAGGCTGAAAAAACACAACATTTCCCTAATTATTTACTATTAGTAGAGTAAACAGCACCAAACTTAAAGGCTAGGAATAATTTGTAAAGTCCGCAATTTTGCTATTAAATGTTTAATTGTTTGAAGTCTGTTTGGGTTTACACTAATGATAGAGGAGCGAAAACAAAAGCCGTTGTTTTGATTTAAAACAAAACTGATTGAACGCCAGCTATTACGGTGCTAAATGTGCCAGAAACATACAGAAGTGGCTACTAGGTCGCCGAGTTTCTGCGATTACGGCAATTAGCCCTAATGTTCGTGTGAACGCATGTGGTTTAAATCAAGTGGGCTTAGCTCGGGCGCATTATTTTCATGACTGGCGCAATTGAAAGTTATTTGTGTGGGGTCGCACAGACTAACCCCAGACTAAACGCTAACATACGCTCTCACCGCAAGAGCCAGATTATCGGTGACATCCGTAATTGGTTTAATGTGCGCCGTCAGGAAGTTGCGATACAACCAGAGAGAAAAAAAGTGGCAGAAATATAAAAAAATATAAAAAAATCTTCTCGGTGACTCGAGAATGTGTATGGTTAGCGTGGCAAAGTAGCCGAAAATTTTTTAAAAAGCTCAACATCATTTTCTGTATATATATTTTTTAAAAATGCATTATATGCCATTCAATTGAAAAGTTCAATTCCCAGAATGGAATGTTTTGAATTGTTTAACGGCTTTCAACAGGCCAAACGGCGCTCATGAACCCACAACTGTTTGCGTAGGTAATAATTGCTGTGTATTTTGTCAATTTGAAGCAGTAATATACGTTGTTGGCAGCTGCTGACATGAACATTGATTCAAATTACAATTAGCAATGATTTGCTGAAACTCGCATAGCTGTTCGGGACTCACAAATGATGGCAATTGATCCGGTTGACCTACACGAACAAATTTCAGCTGGCCATTGAAAATGGCATGATTTGACTCAATTTGTATTTATATTGCTGTCACACATGAACTGCCCATCAGGGATTGAAAGTGTGTCTTCAGCACAATATAGGGTCATAAAACTATGGCACTGGAGGCAGCAGAGGAGCAGAGGCGCCGTGTCTCTTAAGGGTAGAGTGGAACCGAGGGTGGGGTCAGGCCTGTAATGAGGGTAAGCGGCTATTTGTCCTGCTGATGATGAGCAATGGCTTCCTGAGCTCCAATGCCTGACCCTGTTTGGTACCAGTGCTCAACCCCACTCAGTGCAATTCCCAGCATTTACACGCACATGCCCAAACCCCCGCATCGTTTAGAAAGAGTGCATGTAACTTCTGCCAAAAGCAGAAGCCTCCATCTCACCCGTCCCATTCCCGGCCTCCCTGTAGTAAAAAAAACAAAAACCTACGAACACGTCCGGTAAAATATGCTCTCAAGTATTTGTTGCGTAATATATTTTTTTACGTACGGTATACATTAATTTATATGAATGATCAAGTTGTATGCTTCAGTGGGCTTATACGTAAAATAACAGGCTCATTAAAATAACAGCAGCTTTAAAAAAATGAAGCTGTATTTTTAATTAATGACAATTTATTTCCACTCGTGTGTCTCCTTCAACTAGAGCCATACTTTTTAAACGACAAAATAAATAAGTTCAATGAATATTTTCTCTTTTTAGACATTTTGCATATTCTCCCCGGCACAGAATTTGTGTAAGACCCTCGCTTTTTTTTATCTTCCGTCTAATTTGCTTCAATGATACCGACACAATTTTCATCCCTATGTCCCCGACATCTTCTGGCCAGCCAAGTCGGTTTCACATCACACTCCGAGCGCGGTGTCTCTGAAATTGTCATCGGCGTGGACAATGACGCTCGCGAGAACCACTTTAGCCCCGTGAAAGCGGTGCGAGAGGCATGACTTTCCACTCATGCATAACAACGGCTCGACCGTTTCCAAATCTCCCCGGCGCATTGTTGTCGGTGCCGCTATCTGGACCAACGCGGCCCCTTTTCCGTGCCCACTCTGGCTCCCCCCTCCCCGAATCCCCCTCCTTCTTTGATGGATTCGCCGGGTAACATAATCTCCTTAGCGGATTTGCATCCCGAGGCTCCCTGTGTGGCGCCGTGCGCACCAATGCCTCCCCTGCGGCCCTGTGCCGGCAATGGCAGGCGGCCTAAGCCACCTACTGTCGTACGACCCGCCCGGTCGGCCGCCCGCCCGCCCGCCCGCCATCTCCTCCCCTTTGCTTCCAAGGATTTGTAGCACGCGCACACGCGCGGCACACACCAGTGAGTGCATGCGCGTGTACGCGTGTTCAGAGTGCGTCTGCACCATGCCCGCCCCACAACTTTATCTCCTCACAGGCGGCTTCCTCCTTAACCATTTCAATCCTAGAGCAAAAAGAGCAATGCTAATAATCAGCATTATGAAGAAGTTGTTTGGAATCCCCTCAAGCATACACAATTCTCTGTCATGGTGAGTCTAACAGGGCACCTAGGGAATTGTTATGTGTACATGGAATATAATGAGTACATACACGGCATAAAGAATGTTTTCTGTCTCTGGTGTATTGACACCAGTTAAAAGGCCTCCATCTGTAGGTTGTAGACTTAAAAAAAAAATCTAAACAGCCTTAAAAATGTTGTTGCTCTTATTATTGCTAGAAAATAATGTATTATGCTAACGTAATTTCTGCAGTTATTGCTGCTGATGCGCACAATTATTTTCAAGCGGCCGTAATTTTTTAAGCACTGGCATGATGCCTTTGGCGGGGAGTTCACCTCAAAGTCTGCCAGAACGATCAACAAAAATCAAGCGGCCGAAAAAGATTTATCATGCAGGTGTGACTGCATTCATAACCCCTGGCTGCCTTTTATTAATTGAGAAAACGTAAAGTTTTCATACGTTGCTGATGTCGGCGTAATGTTTTAAGGGAGCATGAAAAAAATGCAGTAAGCATCTGTGGCAAATTACCAGAGCGGCGCATCGAAATCTGCTTCCGTTGGATCGAGTGGCTGGGATGGCCGGCGAGATGCGCGCACGACGTCTGGCCAAGCGCGCCGGGGCTCTTGAGGGGATTTTGACACTGCCCGCCAAGCTCACCAGTGTCAAAACAGCCTGCACAATAATAGACGTAGCCTGAGCACACACTCAAAAGCCAATTAATCAAAGAGGCCCTTGAGAAAGCGGGCCTCTTTATTCAAGTACCCCACCAACCACCACTCTCTCTTTCGTGCTTTTGGAAGGTGGAGAGGAGGCAGCTCACTCACGTGCTAATCACAATCCATTATCTCATCGCCGGCATGCTGAGAGAGTTGCCTTCAATTTCTCTCTCTCTCTCTCTTCACCCCCCCCTCCCACACTCTTTTCTCTTTAAAACACAAAATGCCACTTTAATCCCGGGTCGTTAATGTCCTATTAACCCAATTGTTATAAAGTGTGAGAATGCTGGCATTGAAATGTATCGCGGGGCTAATGTACTTATCCCCGGCCCTATGTGTGGCGGTGGCCGCATGGAGAGATGGCTTGTAAAGGGAGCTGTGCACAATGGATCCATCTCTGTCAAAGGCTTATAGCAGCAAAGAGTTAACATATAAATACAAAGGCAATGGCTAGAGGCACCGATACTGCTTCCTCCTCCCCCACTCAGCTATTTGTTGGTAAGCAATACGGCTGCATTTTCAATGCAATTAAACGGGAGCAACTCGCGGGTGCAAACGATGTGGCTCTGTGTATGTTGCGCTTGTATGCAGCGTATTCTTGCCCTTTGGCAATGAGGCAACAAAGGAAAGGATTCTGAAAGAATGTCGAGAAGCGACAGCGTTAGTCGGGTCGCTGTTTTAAACGCCGAGTCTTAATCAGGAGCGGCTGCGAACGTAACAAACTTGGGTGTTATTATCACGGACTTGCAGGTGTGGATTAATGTTCAGCCATTCCTTTGTTTATGATAAGTACAATGCCAACACAAATACGGTACTTCAAGTTTGAAATGTAACCTTATTATCAACTTACAAGCCAGGCTTTGTAGTCCCATGTAAAATATACAAAAAAATTACCTATTTACAACTTTCATGCTCAAGTGCAGCTGGAATATACAGAAACACTTTGCAGAGTGTTTTAATTTCTTTCCGAATATGAAAGAGGTCCCTGCAATTATTTTCCCCACACATGCACCCTGGCTTCACCAAGGAAAAATAGAACATTTAATAATTTACACACTGTATCAAAGTCCTCAGCATAGATCAAAAGCATCAAAGGCACCCTCTTAAAAAGGAACCCCTGAAACAATATTAAACCCTTCTTGCAGTAGTCAATATCGAGAAGTGGGAGAAATATTGCCGTGTTATGCTTTAGGAAGACGAATGGGGAGCTGGGCCCGATACTTCTGGTTCCGTACGCGTGGATTAATGGGCATCTGAGATTTAGTGCCTCGGAGCAAGAGCGAATTTCGGGCCACGCTGTTGCTGAGAGTAACACTAACACTCGTAAATCAGATAACGGAGCATTGAATATGACTTCATCGCCTTTTAGCGTTCAATATTTTTTGGGCGCAGCTCCCTTTTTATAAGCTGTTGAGTGGATTTGTGAAGCTGCGATCCTTAGTCCAAAACCTCACGTTTGATATCGAAGATCAAAATGCACAGGCTTCCTGGGACACGGTTCAAGACCACTGCGTCCTGAAACCCAATTTAAAGCAGAACCGGGTGCTCACAGAGGCATATCAGCAAATGCAAAATGTGTGAGAAAAAAAAAGTCAAAGCATGCTGTTAGCTGGATTCATGATTAAATAAACACATGTCAGCAGGGGTCATGCATAACACAGACATAACAAGCAAAATATGTCAGAGGCAGTTACTGGAGTGTATGTGTTAGATGAGGTAAATATGAGCCACTATCTCATTCAGCAGCCTCAGCCAGAGCGTCGCTCCTGCGAGTGCGCGCGACGATGTTCACCTTCTGTGCTCTTGTGTGTGCATGCGTGTGTGTTTTGTGGGGTTTTGTCCGCGTGCGTGCGTGCGTCCGTGCGTCCGTGCACGCGTCTGCATGCTTGCGTGTGTGACCGTGTGCCGCTGGCAGGTGGTTGTCTCGACGACAGTCCACGTGGACGGCCATGTTCTCGCTGTGTCAGACAACATGTTTGTGCACAATAACTCCAAGCACGGGCGGCGAGCCCGCAGAATCGACCCCTCCGAAGGTACGCCTCCACCGTCTTATCTCGACAATGGTAGGGACCGCAAACTTTCTTTTTCATTTTTTCCCATGATTATTTTTTTCATTTTCATGTTTGTCGCGCCGCGCTTGCTTGTGAATGCGTTTTTTGCTTTTTTTGCCCGTAACACCGCATTTCTTTGCAGTTCTCCGGAGTCGCAGTTACGATATTACTGTATAGCCAAAGCTTGTTCTGATACGGCAACATTATCCCGATTGTGGTTATGTGCCGTCATATCTTCAGAAATCCAGAAGTTAATAAAAATTCACGCGTTGTTATGAACGTATCAAAATGATTTGAAGTTCAAATTGCTGTGTGTTGCAATGAAAATAAAATAAAAGAAGCTCTGTTGTTATTTGATCCAAAAAAGGAAACAGTTTAAAAACTTTGCAGAACACCGTAAGACTTTAACAAAAACATACGTTCACGTTTTAATTTATGTCTTGAGTGGATTTGATTTTACATGGGAATTTGCTTATACAGTAATATGTTAATGCTGGATGCAATGTGCTTACCTGTGCCTAACAATGCAATGGTTTTTATCTTCCCCAAATCAAACTGTGCATTACATTTTCGCAAAATGTATGGAAAATCCATCAGTCTGAAAAACGCATACATACAAACACACAGATGATGCACACACGCATCCACTCACACACACACGTGCAAGCATGGTAATGAAATAAAATACTTTACATAGAACTTTAACGGCATTCAAACTTTACCATTTTTCATGAAGGCTGAATGGATTTTCCAATTGACTCGAGTCATTTCAGGCCCATTTAATTACTGGAAACGTACTCACTGTTTCAACATTATAAAATAAAAATTAATTGTTTTATTAAGAACACGTGGATATTACCAGCACTTTAACAAAGAGACGGATCAGAAATCCAATTTGATGTCAGAAATAGGAAATGGCTTTTTTGAAAATGCAGTGAGTTATGTGCGTGCCAGCTCCTCAGAAAATCAATAGTTAAATGACATTCACAACTTTGTTTTTAAGAATAGACACTCACGTTTCACGCAATTATATCCCATAACACGTTGCGTTTAACGCAATTGTAAATTTCAGAAACTGATTTTTGATACAAGATTGTAAAATGGTTTGTGCTTTATATAGTTGTAAAAAGGATGGTTACGATTTTGAGAACATGCTCAAGAAAAATACCACCGACCTAAAAATACATTCTTTATCAACCAGTGGTGAAGTATGGTCAAGTAACCCTGATGACGTGCATGTCAAGGGGAGGCCCTCATCCAAAATGGCTGTACGTTTGCAATAAGATTCACATTCATGGCGATTATATTGAACAACGTAAGTAATGTACGTCAGTCTTTTACATATTGTCCGCAGAGCAATTTTACCAAACCTCATCTAAAACTAGAAAGCATGGCCTCTGATCATCACCACAACTGCTGTTTTGCACTTTATCTTCTGAGGAGCTGACACGTCATGCATCTGTCTAATCATGGTGCCCTGACAATGAAATGACGGTTCTCAGTGCCAGCTTGGTTTGTCGCTTTAACATGGCTTGCATTTTTTTTCAAGTTTTATTGCAGCTTTTCTGTTTGCGGCGAGTCTGGATTAAGCCTAACTGGCGCGGCCAACAACATATTTAATTGAACCAGTGACACATCTGTGTGTATGTGTGTATATGTGGTTTATAACGTATGACGATATAGGTTTGTGTTTTTTTAAATATTTTTTTTATTGTTTGCGCCCAGCATGTATCCGACAGACACTGAACTGTACCGAGGCTCATTTTGATGCTAATTTTTTTGTGGCTCACCCTCTCCCGTAACAGTGCATTGTGGGTAGGCTGGACATCTGCTGTAGCTTTGCATGAGAACAAACGCTCTTATGAAATCCTCTCTTCTGGCGGATCGTGATACGGGGGGCTAAGCCCCAATTTGCTTTGTTTTCCTGCCAGTTTTGGAGAAGCGTATGGTTGGGCCGCAAAAGCTGTGCCTAAATCACTGTCCACGACACTTCCAAACTGTAACATTTGCACACGCCGAGAGAGAGCCTCATCATACACTGCTTTAGTCTGATACAATTCATGGACATTGAGTGGGCAAGGACAGTGTGAAGCATTCAAAAAGCACTTCAGCAGAATTCATTTTAGGTTCCTTTGCATAGCACATCAACATTTTTTTAACAGCCACATAATTTTTGAGATAAGGCTTATTAATGTCTTCACATGGCCAGTATTATGATTGAAGTTTAAAAGATCTCATGCATTAAATTGGATGGATGTTACAAAAATGACGTCTCATTTTATGATTTCACGCCAACTTCCATTGTGAAAACCACCCACCATCACCTTAAGACGTAACATTATGGAGGATTTATTTAGAGATTCAAAACTGAACATTTTACTTCGATTTGGCAGTCCTAAGGACAACTGTGGAATTGTAGCTTTTTAAATGTCATGTTTCTTAAAACATGTTAATGCAGCAGATACTAAAGGGGGTTAGGTAAAGTATAAATTATTAAAGCCATCTCTAGCACCACACTGGCTGACTTGCCTCTGCTGTGTGTATGAGCTCATGTGTATATATCTGCATGTGTGGATTTATATATATGTCATGTAGTTGTGAGTTTAAATGTTTGAGAATGTAATTTGTGCAAAATTGTCAAACGGATATCATGCTATTCTTATTTAATAGACTTATCTTCACGCTTGCAGGATCAAATATGATATGGTGACATTCATTAAATTGACAAAATTAAACAAAACAATCGGTGTGAATTTGTGCACACTCTCAACATCTCTTCTCATATTACAACTGGCCGTCTTATACATATACGTACAACAATGCAGTCGTATTTCCAGATCCTGTTATGAAAACGGTACTAAAAGAAAACTAGGCAAAATATATATTCATTGGAGCAGGCAATAGATTGCACAGCAGGTGCCCTTCGTTCACTTTGATGCGATGTGCAATCAAAGCCCCACCACCCAGTGGCAGGTCGGGTTGATTAGAGCACGACACCACGGTGGATGTTGTGTGGCTGGCACGCAGCTCAAAAACGGCCTGGCCCGCACTGTTTGAAGAGGGCACGTGATTGTCCATTCTAAAATCAACAGTAATGATTACACTGGCCATATCGCCCACATGAATGGCGCATTTTCGTGTATGCCTCTGCACGTACATACACGTTGTCCGTACGTGTGAACAGTTGAGATTATTTGTTAATTTTTGATAATGCTTGATGTTTTATGGTAATTGTAATTAGCACAGATGGCTACGTACGGTGCAAAATAAGTTCAACATACATACATACATGGAGGTCATTGCTATGATGGGTTTTCATTTACATTTTGAAGTCATGTTGATTTTTTTTCTTCAACAAGAAATGTACGTGTGATACATGCATTTGTTGTCCATGGAAAAGTTTTTGGTAGTCATAGTTAAACCAGGTTGCAGACCAATGAAGAACCTGTACCCTTGTGACCCAACCCCTACAGCTTATAAAAGGTTTGTAGAACTGGCATTAATCTACACCGTAGCAATCCCTGGACACAGTTATCAACTCGAAATGCACGGCTCTGTCAAGTCTTTATATTTATTTGGTTTTCGTTTAACCGTGTCCGGCGTTGAGGGTATATTTGACCCCGGTAATGACTTCTGTTAATTCTATTTTCACAATCAAGTAAAGCCTTTGATTAGTCTGAGCTTGTGGCTTTTGATGGGCATTAAGTATATTGGCTGGTGAATTTTATTGCATTATTAAATTGATAAATTTAATCATATTAGCATTGAGCAGGAAATAGCAATTCTTTGTAAGATTATCTTATTAATGTGAATGCAGCTTGAAGCCGGCAGGTTAACTTGATCATCCAGTGCAGTGCATTTACCATCACTCAGTTTCGTCAAATTCCAAAAATTGAGGTAACCCAGAAAAAAAAGAGACATGTCACGAGCAGAGAACCATTTTCAATTGGTCAACATCCATGCAAAACTTGAATGACTGACTTTAAAATTGGACACAATTATAAACACATGTTGATTGCAAAAAATGCTCATGGGAATTGGAAAATGTTCAAGTCAAGCCAAACATTTATTCATGCGGAAAAATAAATTCCAAGCAGCTCTCTAAATTTATTTTTAAGCATAACATTATTATAATTCCAACGCACACCTCGGTTCTCCGAGCAGAGGTCCGGCTCTCACAGGCCATGCATGTGTGTGGTCAAGGGGGCCCGCTAACTTCCTCCTTCAACTGACTTTGTCGCCAAAAGCAGCCACACCGTGCATCAAAGCCATCAGCCCGAGTGAGGGCTGGACGACCGGCGGTGCGACAGTCATCATCATCGGAGACAACTTCTTTGACGGGCTCCAGGTCGTCTTTGGCACCATGCTGGTGTGGAGCGAGGTGAGATCATTGTGTACACGTGCATGTACAGCCCCTTTCTCAATCCGTAGCTGGATGAAGCCCCCCACCCCCTCCCTGCCCCATTCCCGATTCGTTGCAGGTCAGTAGGGCGTTTATTGACCGCACTTGACCACGCTGGTCAGTGCGGGTTAGTGAAGGTGAGGAGCACATATGCGGAGGCATAGAAGTACAGTGCAACAATTGATTTTACTGCACTGTTTCCTGCTCTCCATGATGTAGCCCCACAGCCCTATAACATCTGTGATGGTGGGTGGCCAAGCAAGCACGGCCAGGTTCAAACTTTCTTAGCTTCTGAAATCTGCCAAGATCGGGTGCATTTTCCGGGTGATTTGGTCATAGACACCGCAGCAGCAGCAGCAGAAGCATGGTTTCACGTCGCCAAAATCCATCGACCAAATAAAACAGAGCGACAATAGTGTAAATAGACTGACGCTAATAGAACAATTGAATAATGCTGACATAGACCGAGCCCCGAGGCGTCACTGTTTTGAAACCAACTCTGTGCATTTATTTTTGGCAGCTCATCACGCCCCATGCCATCCGAGTGCAGACGCCACCCCGGCACATCCCTGGCGTGGTGGAAGTCACCCTCTCCTACAAGTCCAAGCAGTTCTGCAAGGGTGCACCAGGGCGCTTCGTGTACACTGGTAAGAGCTTCACGATTCATTCTCGGAGCCTTATGTTTCATTCTTTCAGCTTGATTTGATACTCCCCGTATTGAATCATCAGACGCAAACAGACTTGGGCTTTTCCTCGCGACTATAGTTTTAGGGTTTACGCCTCAAACAAACTGGGATATCATAGGAAGAAGAATATCTCACGAAACCAAAAGAGGTTGGAGCTAACATGTATATGCATTGTCTTGAGTGGTGCGTTATTTTTCAACTGACAACAAACGGGACTGTTAATGTTCCCGAGATAGACTCTACAAGTTTCCCGTGACAGCAGCTACCTTCAAAAAGATGGCCCTGGAAAAACCAGGTGGCAACCCTACTACGGCCATGTGGAGTTTTGTCACGAAAACATTTTGTCCTATATAATTTAGGTGAAAACAGATGAATAAAAGCAATGGGGGTGGGCGGGGGGGTAAAGATTACATTTTTTATTTTATATACGTACAGTATACACATCAAAACCCCTGCTTAGCCTGCGTAGTTAGTTACGCATCCTTCTTAAAGCGGCGATTTGTTTTCAAAGTCAAAGCCCTTGACTTTGCAATATTCTCGGCTGCATAGGAAAGTCGTGGGGAGCACGCTTGGGGCTCGCTAAGCACTTACGCCGTTCTGCAAGGCTGGCGTGCGGGCCCCGCCACAGGGGTTAATTTCCTCCGCTCTGCAACTGCACGCGGACAAACACCGCCTTGTTCGTCGGGGAATGACATATGACCCCGCGGCACCACGGCACGACGCGGTAAACAGTGCAATAGCTTGGCAGGCCTCCCGCGATATATTACCATCAGGCACAGAAGGTGTACACGTGTGTGTACGTGCGTACGTGTTCATTTCCAAATGTGGCTAAGGTGTTGGGCTTTTTGTTCTTGTATGCGTGTGATTTTATGTGCATGTGTATTTATATATTTGGGTATTCGTGATAGAAATGCGATAGCTCAAATGAGTGTTTTATTTGTTATATCTAATTATATAGAAATTGAACTATGTGTTGTGGTATTTAAGAGGACCACTTCCGCATATTGTTCACTGGGTCCACTCTTTATCTGCATGCATCCACTGTGAGGACAAGGCAGTGGGGCCCGCAGTTGCATATGGATCTGCTCGTATCAACATTTGTAAGGGCTGTCGCCACTCATGCTTTTTGTTTGTCTTCACAAGAGACTTATTGATGGTTGGATTGATTTAAAGGCCATTCCAAAGGCCATGGCCAGTTAAAAATGTTGGCTTGCCAACGTACAAACACTAAATTGTGGTGAAGGTACATGATTGGTGCGCAGATTTCATGGGCAGATTATTTGTACTTGTGGGTTTTTTTGCTCTCCCCCTCCTCTTTATAATGAATGGGCCCTTTTGTGTTTTGAAAAACGGAGGTTTTCTAAAGTTCAAGTCAGGAAAAGCAACAATATTTTTTCATGTTGAAGTAATATCGCTAAATCCTTTAAGTATTGAGAAAAGTACCTTCATCGATGTGCTGTTATCTCCGCTATAGTTTTGTAAAATACCCATGTGGGAGAGTCATTTGTATGTGTTAAAGCTAATGCATGATATTTGCAACAAGCTGAACCCGGTAATATACTCATACAATTGATCAAAACTGATATCACCTACTATTCACACAATTTCAGGCAGGTATACCATGTTCATCATTTAATTTGTATTGTAAAAAAAAAAAGTATGTTTCATTGCTTTTATTAAGTCAAAACGTGTGTTCTTTAATAATATGCATTCTTTACTTGTACACAAAAAACATGGAATTTATTTACAAGGGAAACCTAGTTAACGTGACACGTGTGAATATTACAACATCGGAGGTTTCTGAAGTTACAGTCAGCAGTGAGACACGGTCCATTGTTGTCAAGTTGGACTACAAGTTAGGGGAGCTAAAATGGAATTTTATCTGAGTACATTTTAACGTAATTGACAGTCATGCAGCTTATCATAATAAACAAACCCCTTTAAAGTCAAGACTTGCATTTTTTTTAAGTGCCATTTTATTGTATGGGAATTCCCCGTACACATAATCCATCGTATCCTAGCGAGCAACAAACCCACTACTGCCAGGCTTGCACAAGCCCCTGTACAGAGCAGCGTGCACACGCACACACACACGCAGGGGCGCTGGCCTGTGCGCCCGTTCGTATATGAGCGTGCGCGTAACAAGCAGATCGATAGATGCGCAATCCACGGGAACGCTTGCGCCCAAGATGAAACGCTTCTGGCGGCTCTGATCAGAGATCCCTGACAGCTACTCGCACCGCCACCCCAGCCAGCAATCAATGCCTGCCGAGATCAAACTAATCCCTGCCGTCTTAATGGTCAAGGGGGCAGCAGGCAAAATATATATATAATAAAATAATGACGAACGAGTACACAAATAAATAGCCTGAAAATGTTACGTTTTAAAGTGCATGTGTTTAAAACGAGGGCAAGTAAAAAAATGTATTTTAATATCTGGGGTGTACTGCCAATACAACTTCGGATTTTTGAAGGAGGGCCAGATTGTGACTGTTACAAACGTCCCTGTAATACAATTATAACTAATAATACTCGCTCAATGCACCCTTTCTTTCAACGAATGTTGTTGAACTAAATCGTTGTGGGGTTTTATTTAGTGATGTATTTTTTGAACAATTGCACATATAAACCGTATGACATGATAATAAGTGGCAAAAATAATAGACAACATATTTTTTATGTTATATGTATGTATGCAAAGAATGCTCTTGAAATGTTGCCACAAGCATCTCAACACGTTGGCAATTTTCACGGCTCTTTGGAGAAGCGTGGTCGTGAGCTGACCTCGGCAGTAATCCAATTTGTAATCCCACTCGCCACCTTGCTTTTAAAAAATTGCCGCCTACCATCGGCTTCACTGTCTGATTGAGGCGAATTAAACGATGATTCATTGTCATGGCGATAAACGAAGGCAGGCGGGGTCATGTGATGAGCTGCCACCCTTGGCAGGAGTTAATAAGCCCCGGTGGTCTACCCATAATCCTCTGGGCTGTGTCTCTCTCCCAAAGAGAGAGGGGGGTTGGAGGTAAACCCAATTTCTGCCTTGAGCGATTCTGAACAGAGATCTTTTTGTTTTAGTTATTTTTTTAAAACGGCATAGGAACGAGTGCATTTTTTATTATTTATATTACAATTTCCAGACTCAAAACATCACTATAAAAATATATAAGTGCTTTGTATAGTGGCCTTGAAATTACACTTTATCGTGAGGAAACGAAATGTTCCACACATGTAAATGCACGAAATGTTAAGAAAAAATACCTAATATAATAATGATTTAAAGACAAAGAAATGTCAGCTAATAGCTGCTTGAATTAACATATAATTCACAATCATTACCCGTGTATAATCTGATATAAAAATGGCACCGTTTTATTGAAATTAATAGGCACGAGGCAAATTTGAAAGTGAAAATGTATACGAGTCACTGAATGACCTATCTCATACGTTCTGCTTTATTTATTGCACCCTGGAACCCATTTTGTGCATTATCTTACATAACCTTTGAAAGGTGGATCATATTTGTTTTGCTGTAGTTTTGAACCCATATTTTATTGGACTTAACCTAGGATGTAGAATTGTCTCCACTGTTAAATATTTGCTTACCCTGGACTCTGTTTGTTCATTGCCATCTATTTATACATTTATTTATTTATTTCCATTGAACCCGTGTTAGGGCACCTTTATTATTGCCACTTATTATTCAAAGGGACAACAACCTTTACGTCTGCAGACGTACAATCATGATAAACACACGAACAAACGAATGCATTAATTGGTTTAAATACCGTATACCGCCAGCTCTCAACCAGGCTGATAACTTACCTACTGCGAACGAATCGCATTCCGTAGCAACAAGTCCTTTTTTGTTATGAATTACAAGCGTTAAAATTTATTTGACAGATGATGGATACTTTGCAGGTCTTTTTTTTTTGTTAAAATTCCGAGGTCAGCGTAGGTGACCCTCTGCGGCAAAAGTGTAATAATTTGAGCCGCACAAGTTTGATTCAATTAGTACCAGATGTGTTGGTGCTGCCATCATGCAGCGCGAGCCAGGATGGCGTTACACCCAACGCTTGGGCAGCACTCCCATTATCGCGACACTCGGTCCGTCAGGCCCGCGCGCCAAATTCACACGGTGACGTCCCACCGGCGGACAAATGAACTCTAAAATGCCACGTGGTGGGCACTAAATGTCGACCGAGGTGGCCGCTACGTTTTATGGCAAGAGAACAATCAATCATGACCGACGACGCGTTCTCCAATGAAATGTAACATTTCTTTTCGTTTCGTCGATGTATTTACTTATGTAAAACGTAGGGGAGGCTGCCATTGTATAATAGTTGAGTACACTGGATTTGCAATCCAGAGGTCGTTAATTCGATTCCATCTGACGGCACGGCTGTGGAAACAAAGGGCACAAGTTTATTTATTCCGCCCCCACTTCTGTCCTCCTGGCAGTAAACATGGGTACACCAAACACAGTTCGTCCATTGGCAGGTTTCATCTGGTGGGTATAAATGTGGGTACTCCCACCACTTCGCCAGCAGGGAAGAGTATGCCAAAATAAGAGTAGGCCTCTAGAGGGGCTCACTGAAGGTATTTCTAGTTGAGGCCCTTGCAGCGGCATAAACAAGAGAATGCAGGGCTGCACCTTTCCATTTATTATAAAAGGGAGAAGAACTTTTTTTTTAGCAAGGAAAAAAATCTGTTGAAAAAAAAACCCCCACAAAAAAAGAACACGTAAAACTTGTGATGTTCACCCCAATTGGTGGAGAGAGTGTGCCGCATAGAAAAAGCGACAGCGCCACATTACAGCCATTTCTTTCGCCGATCGATTTGGTTTGATGCCTATCTTGCGATCGGCACTCCATAACATCGCGCCACAATAGATTCAATTCGGCGAGTAAATTTCCTAATCTCCTTCCCCAGTAAATGTATTGACCCCACCAATATTTTATGGCCATGAAACATATTACTTTGATATCACGGGCTTACAGTTTTATGAAGTTGACTCAAGCGCGTTGATTTTTTTTCTCCACCCCCACTCCACACGCGCACCACCACCGCCGCTGCTCATCTCACTCGCTCGCTGTAACTAATTGCATTTGCTCGGAGTGACTGTGCTGATAAAACCCACGCACACTCGACACATTGTAGCCGATCATGTCCCGCAAATGAAAAATAAATGCATCGCAAATAAATCGTGCACGCATCGCAATGCATCACGCCGTCATGGCAGCGGCAGCAGCAGCAGCAGTGGTATTGGCGGTGCCGTACGCATGCCGCTTAATTCCCCTTGATTGTAAGAAACGCGTTGAGAAAAGAGGACGGATTGACATCCAGTGCACTTGAGCAGGCCAATGGGTTTGCAGTCAGGGCTGCTGCTGCTGTTGCTGGTGGTGGTGGTGGGGGTCTGGATGGGGGGGTGGTTTTTTGGGTGGTGTGTGGTGGGGGGGGGGGATGCGTGGGGTGGGGGGAGGTGGGGATTTGGCAGTGGGGGAGGAGGGGGAGCAAGGCGGCTGGGATGTTTTGGCTTGATGAAAGAGCGAGAAGGGTCGATGGGGGCTAGGCCAAGCCTCGTCAGTTTCCCAGCCGATCGTTGGGCCGAAATGCTCCCCTCCGGCCAAGCCCGGGACGGGCTTCATGAAATTTCTATGAGTATCGATCGGAGTGGATCGATCCCTGGCTCGTGAAATTTTAATTTTTAAAGCCCGGGATTCGTGGCCGGGATGAGGGATGGTGACAGCCTATTAGCCGTTATTTCTTCTCGGATTTTACTTACTGCCCGTGCAAGAGGCAAGAGAAGAGTATGGTAAGGTGTGGCGGGGGAGGGGAGTAGGATGGGGAGGTCCAGGGGGGGGAGGTCCATTGGGGGGGGGGGGTCCAGTGGGGGGGGGGGGTCCAGGGAGGGAGGGGGGCTTCAGAAGTGGAGGGGGAGAGAGACAAAGAGATAGAATGATATTGAGAGAAACAGGATATGGTTTAAGGGATAAAAAGTAAATGAGAGAATGGTATGGTCACAGTGAAATAGATAAATAAATAAAACTAAACATGGCTTCATAGTTGAAGCCGAAGAGACAGAAAACGCTGCAAAAGGATATCAGAATGGGATCTTGGAATAGATGGGGAAAAAGCCTTATGGCTCTTTACACAATTAACTCGGTTTTCGTGTGGTAACAAGATCGGCCGTTCCATTAAGGCGGCCAGGCGAGGAATGGGTGTGCATTTTATATGGGAATAAAATAGCCTATATTGGCTGGTTAGTCCTGCTCCGCCAGTAATTTCCCCACTCAATTTAACCATGATGATGAGTTTTGGTGACTCGTGGAGGGTTTTCTTTCCATTAGTGTAAGGGGCTATTACAGAACACATGTAATGTCACACTTTGAACAAACACACTGACCTCCACCCATTCTCTGCCTTTAAGCTCGCTCCCCCCGTGTTATGGAGTGCTGTTTGAACGTGTGACATTATTGAAGTAATTAGACTTGCACGGGCTAAAGGGGTGCGACTTGGGAATATCATGACATCCTTACACGCATTAGCATGCATTTTGCTTGTACTGCGCACTGGTAGTAGTATCTGTATTGATGTGCTGCAGTGTATAGCTTTTCCACATTCATACCAAATTCAAGCATTGTATGTTGATGAATATTTGCCTGCACAATGCACATGTTGGACATTCAGAGAGTGCTCCTGTATTGTGTGTGTATATAATAAAACCAAGATGCATGCAGATAAAGAGAAAACACTGACAAACACAGCCAGATATGGACACAAAAAGGCAGACACCACAACCACACAAATCCATCCCAGGGCTCGTGATAAATTGAAGACGTTAAGGCTCCACTCTGTGTTATAACCGCTCTGGTTTAGCCCAGGAAAAGGATATTGATCCAAACATCATATTAACGGAGCAAGCGAGACAGAGGAGGAACTGGGCAGTCCACCTCATTGGTCACATCTCTGGTCACATGACCTTGGCTCTGAAAGACAATTGGACGTCAGTGGGGATATCTCAGGACATCTGCATTAGTAATTTGTGCACAACATTTGTAACCCACCCAACAAAATGCCACATTAATACAATGGCCAGACGGGTACATAAAAAAAAACATTTCCAGAAATAATATACGCTTCTTTAATTCATTTCTAAACCCATTATGATATTAATGTATAAATTGGTTCACAATGTTTATGAGTGTTTTTATAGCTGTAATAAAACTGCCATCTTAATGTATACCCTTATAACCTACAATTCGCCACTGATGGCAAAGCATCCCCCCCCCCCCCCTCTTTATTTAAATGATGAATATGCGTACGGACGGTCACGCTTTAAAATACTCATTTTTATTTACGTGCGTTTTTTCGAAATATGTCAACTTGAAGGTATTGGTTGTGTCTTTGTTATCCTAACCTCCCCCCTGTTTCTGCTCTGTCTTCCCCTCAGCTCTGAATGAGCCAACAATTGACTATGGGTTTCAGCGGCTTCAAAAGCTCATCCCTCGACATCCGGGGGACCCAGAGAGGCTTCCCAAGGTTAGCCCATTTGTGTATTTGTATACACCTCCCACATGCGCACAAGCACACACACACACATGCAATTCTACATACTTGTTTTTGATAAATAAGCAATGTAAATGTAGAGTCGGTCATCAAACCAATGTTGGCTGAAGACTTCCCAACCTCTCAGATTGGTCATGGAGGTTGTGTGACCATACTTCACCACGCTGGTCAGTGCGGGTTGGTGAAGGGGTGGAGAGGGGTGGGTACTGGGGGTTCCCAGCGATTGGTTCAGATATCGCTTGCCACTGATGTTTGCCACAGCCCGGAATCAAACTCAGGTCACTGGGTTTGTAGCGAAGTGTGAAAACCGTTGCGCCACCACTCCACCCATGTGACTGATGTGGGTAGAGATACGCAGTTATTTTAAATAAGACTTTCACGGTGTTACTGAGCAATGTTCACTACTCCAAGGAATAATAAAGCACTCGCATTAATTTAGTGGCAACTTACGCAATGCATAATCCAAATTACTTGAACGAGCACAAGGTTTATGACAAATATTGGTAAGTTAGACTATGCGGGAAAAATCCTCATTGTTAAATGATATAATAGAGGTCCTTTATTCTTTCCCTACAATTTAAAAACAAGCGTGTCAATGATAATGTGCAGCTGAATACACATTGCACCGATGTCTTGTTCCAGCATGATTCTCGTAATAATTAGATGCCGGAGAAAACATTTTTATTTAAATTAATCTCTCCACATTGAATGCGCACGTCTCGTTGAAACCGGCATGGAACACGGGGAAGAAAGCAGTGAAGCAAAAGATCCCATATCGCTCAAAAAGCCTGGGATAAGCGGAGAGCCGGGGACGGAGCAAGAGGAATCTCCGCTATTTCCCCTTTGATCCCTCCCCACAGGACTCGCCCCTGCCTGACATTTATTCCCTTCATTAAATATTTAATAATCCTCAGCCATGTTAAAGTGCCGCTGCTTAAAGCCAAGAATCTCACACTAATCTGAGCGCATCGTATATGGAAACGCGTGATGCTATGCGCCATGCGGTCAGACGGCTCTCTGCCTTCTTCCACAGCGTGAAAGAGTATGTCATGGACTATACCTATGTATATAATGTTAGCATCTCAAGGCGGCTTCATAAGAGAGGCACTTGAGGTGGCTTTTGAGATTGTAAGGATATGTTGGAGGTCTCTGTACAACTCTGCTCGGAAGAAGGTTTAATCGATTCAATTTCAAAAAGTATACTTTGCACATACATTTCTATACATTTTATTGTTGAAATCGATTATTAAAAAAAACATTTCATTGGACATATATTCTGCAAAGCGCTTTTACACTTGAATATAAGCAACATACTGCGATAACTATCTTCATTTTTGAGAAAGAACTGCTGCAGTATAATGTGCCTTGGCCAATAAATCGCAGCATCACTTTTTAAGACTTGAGATTATGGGAGATGAAGTCCAGTACTTTACATCAGCGCAGAGGATGAAAGCAAGTGGCGGTGGCAGCTTCTAAATTTATCGTAATATCCTAATTTCCATTTTAAAAAGTTAACGTCTCATCACACATCGGGGGAAGCACGTAGATAGCTCACTCTACTGTCGGAGCCATGTAAGAGAGCTGCACCATACCGCATTCATTATTAGTTTGCTAATCTGCCTCATGCTGACTCGCAAAACGGTTGGGACTACAAAGGCAGTGCGGCATCTTTTGAGAATCGATAAGCACGTGTTGTGATTATTGAAATGGCTCGGGGCCCTGGCGTGAGGGTATTGAGCCGGCAGCGGAACGCAAACGCAAATAACAGCGGCGACAACAGACGCCGAATGACCCCTGTGCGCCGGAACGCACGCACGAGGCACGCCGGGGCAGGCTGGTGGGAGCAAACGGTCGGATCAAACTTGATTCCGCGGGCCGCGTTCGCACGTCGTAAGGTGCGCTGCCTCCTTGCCCTTGTGTCAGTTTGGCTGCATTAGTGCTCCGGAGATTGATAGGTTCACGTGACGCCTTATCGATTTTTAAATCGATGCTGCCTGGGGGCTTTTATTTGTTTTAAAGGGGATCTCCGGGACGTATCATAAACATTCACGATAATTAAAGCACCCGGTGAGAAGCCTGCGTGGATACAGGAATTCTTAACGGCTAGGTTATTTTGCGTTCAAAAACTGCGTGAAATCTGCAACATTTAGACCGCCACTTAATTGTAGTGATGTCAGTATCATACTAGTGGGGCCGAGGCTATATTTGTGGCCGGTTTACATTTGTGGAAGTGCTTAAAATATCAGAGATTACACGAATATTACATTGTACGTATTTCTTTGAAGCTACATTTCGTAAAATGTTTTAACATTTCTATTTTTAAACATTTCATTCTTAAGATTTTGTACCACCAGATAGCATTACACAGACAGGCAGGGGGCTCCCGTTTGTTACCGATAAAAGCCCGAATGCTGTTAAACGAAGCGAATTTATATGAAGTTGCATTTTCAGAACACTACACGGCCTTGGCAACTTTAGAATATCCCACCGTCTTCCCCGCTATATTAAGATGCAGTGCATGGCGCGTAGATGTCTAGATGAAGGCAAGCCTCGCAGCCACTACAATCTGAGCTGCATATTTGGAAGCGAATTGGGCGAGCTTATAGAAACACAATTGTGGGCGGTAATGCAGCTGGGGATATTCGCGAGTGCTGCGGTGTTGTACCCGACGTATTTGGAACATGGAAATGTGGCTCGTAGTGATTTATCACTGTTAGGTGGAGCCCCGCAATCCGTCATTGTTAGAGCGGCTGTCGAGGACCGGCTGATCACAACTCCCCACTTAATTCACTGAACTCCCTTCCTATTTGGGGAGTGTGTTTGCATGCCTAGGCAAGCCTACATTGAGAGGTAATATCTACATTCAAAAGGTGGGGGGGGGGGGTGGCCGGGCTGACGCGAGAGATCTAGAGGCAGAGGTGTGCTTGGCCCATTGTGTGCCATTGTGTGAGATCACGGGACATCCGTGGGCTTGGAGGTTCTATGCATGCAGCCCACGAGGCCATAACGACAGATAATGCTGCATACGCTATGCGCAACAGTGAGGTAGATAGGATATGGTTGTGCGTGCTTCTTTATTATTTATAATGTGTATCGCAAGCAGGGCTAAGATAGATTATTATTTTTTTTACGATTTACTTTTCTCCGTCTTATTCTCTTAAAATGCGCAAGGTTTTATTTGCTGAGAAAGTAAGTGCATTAATAAGCGAGTTAATTGATTTAAATGAATTATTCAGTTGTGCTTGATATTGATTGATTTGTATGAATAGTTAGGTCGTGTGTTGCAATTGCGGGTTGGAGATCGTGGCTATTTAGCTATGTATGTTGGTAAATAATGTACAGTGCACATCGGTTTATAAGTGTTTGTTAAATTCAGCGGCTGTTCGTGAGGCTTAGTAAGACAGGCAAGAGATAGCATTAATGTAAAGTTGTGGTTTTCATCCATTGGTGAAATTTAAGTTCTGCATCATAGATGTGTTGAGCGACATGTGAAAGTGGCCTGCAAATTTAACCTCTGCTGCTGTGGATGAACATCTTAACTAAAATACGGTTTCAACAGCGTCTTATCAACACGCAAAAAGAATGGATCCCGTATTATATTGTTGCTGTCATTAGTTCTGTTTTGGTACATCTCACATGGAGAGAAATTAGATCATGATAATCTTATTTTCCACGACTCACTTCCATACCAGTGAAAGTATACATCTCTTTTAGGGTTTGGCTCAATTCATAACATAAAAACCTACTGAAAAGGCCATAGGACAAGCAGAGAAAAAAATCACCCACAATAGAGAAGGTGGATTTTGATTTAATAAATGGTAAAGGGGGGGAAATGAGGGTGCATTTGTTACATTTGAGAATGGCTTGCATGGGTTATGGGATGTAGGGGGTTTGAAGAAAGGCAGAGACAGGCAATGAGGAAAAGGGCAACGCAGCACAAACAGGGTCAGCGCGTCGGAAAAATGGGGCGGCAGCAGAAAGGGTGACGGGTTACGACCAGCGCAGCATGCTGGCTTACCCCAGCCATCCCGTGGCCTGCTCTGTCAACAGGCCAGGCCACTGATGGCAGCTCGGAGCGATGGACCCTTCCAGTCACTGGCCCGGCCCGTCGCAGTTGATAATATTATCATAATATTGATTTTTGCCACTCATCAATAATGCATGAGCTTTGACGGGCGGGCCGTCGTGACAGAAAGTCGATAAACGCCTTTCCGCGCTCGGAACGCCCGGGCGCGCTGATTGGTGCAGGTGGCCTAAACAGGCAGGTTTTAGGAGCAGGGGAAAAGTTAAGCTTGGGCTTTGGCTTTTTTTTTCAGTGCAAGATTATGGCTAGCGCTGTGCATCCATGCTCAATATGCCTAATTGGCAAATAGCTGCTGTCAGTAATTTGTTGCTGCGCTTGGAAGCATTTAAAGGGCACTGCCTTTTTTTTGCTACCAGCTGAGCCACAAGGCCCAGCTGAATGTGGCCAGAGGCAGAATTTTTCTCAAATTATGCCATGAAATTACAGGTGCATTTGCTAGTTGCTATGCATATATATTTTATGCTACCGTAGTAGAAGAACATTTCAAATTGAGAAGGAAAAAAATGTTGCTGATACCCTACTGTCATTTAAATGTAGTCATGTTATTGGATAAAGCTTGATGACATCATTAATTTTAATGACCTCATTAAAATACAGGCCTGTGTTTGGCTAAAACATCATTAAGACCTGTATATCACACATAATGAGTTTTGAAATGAACTTAGCACACATTTAAAAAATGATGTTTGTTGCTGACAAGCAGTCTTGAAGGGTAATACGTAGTTTATAAATAAATAATAATGACTTGCAGATTTGTTTCATTAATACAATGCACAACGATGATGATGGTGAAGATGACGATGAAGACATTTATGATGATAACAGAAATTCAAATGCAAAAGGATTTTCCCCTCCAATAAATTACAATATTCGTGCTCCTGCTCTCTCT